GTACAGGACTGAACAAGCTAAAAGTTCTTCTGATACCAAAGCCTGTGTCACTGCTATTGCCAGAGAAAGCTAAGAGAGCAATATCATATTTGTCCCTAAGGAATGAGTTGAACAAACTGTCCCAGCCAATCCAGACAGCAAGAGAAAATGAGGTACTTTCATTCCTAGAAGTTGATACTTCTCACCGTGATAACATCTTCCTATCCAAGGATGTCAAACTATATAGCACTGGCAGTCCTGTTACTCTGGACAAAGCAAACGTTCCTTTGTGCAAAACAGGGCTCTACACAGCACAGACCTGGTATTTTGAATTGCCAGTCACACAACAGATCTAAAAGCAGTATCCGACCCCTCCTCCAACCACACACGTCACAGACACCTCCTCAGATAAATATTATCCAACTGTCACACAAGACCCAGCAGGGACACTTCAAGTTAGAACCAGCAGGAACATCCTTCACAGAAAAAGGGGATCTCAGACATCAGTTTGCAGTGCTCAGTGGAAATAGTGCTGCAACTGCAGGCTAAAAGCAAGATGTCTTTCTCAATCATGTCCCAGCTGGCAGGTGATCAGGGAGACATTTCACCAGAAACACAAGAAAACAAGTGCTTTGGGATAAGAATATAAACCAAAAAAAATGGTTTTTCCTGTGTCTCCAGGTCACTTGCATTTGGCTTATCAAACTAACAATAAAAGTGATAGGAAGAAGAGTTTCTTGTCCAAGATAAGTTATCACAGGTTAATATTTCTGAGCTTTTGAAAGAGACTTGAACAGAGTAGCACATCTACCTGCAAGCTGGAAGAGAAAGTTTCAAGTGAAGAGTTAGCCCAGAAGAAAAGAAAAAGTTACTAATAGGAAGTCTCTTGGTTGAAAATTTTTTTTGCTGTTTCTTCCTGCTGAAGTGAAAAAAACCCACACAGGCTCCCTTTAAGATCCCAGAAAACATCAAGTGGGATACTATGCACATTCCCTCTCCGTGATCACATGCATTAGCACGGGGGCCCTGTTTTTCTTCAGTACAAGGAAAGATCAAGAAAACAGGATGATAAATAATGTATAGGAGGACATGTCCCTTTAAGATATGTTGACACAAAAGTTAGGCTGGAAGGAGTAAAGCAGCATTAGTGTGTAATTACACAGAGGGCTTTCAAGAGTGCATTTCATGGAGATTCAAAAGCAGAGTAGAGATTTCTTGGGTCTGTAATGAACATACACCAGTAGCATTTCAGCATATCTGTAAAATCAAGACTAGTCCCAAGAGAGGCATAATTTTACTCGTTTAGCTAAAAGATGTGGATTAATTGGCAGAAGGATGATTGATCCTTATTCCTGTAAGAGTCAGGAGTGAGTCAGATGAGGGGAGCCTCAAGGTACTCCCAAGATTGAAAGCAGATGTCCACGTGATTGGGACAAATGAACAATGGAATAAAGTGGGAGAAAAAAGTATCCTTGAAGACTAAAAATATTCTGGAAGGAGAACTGTAGAGATGAAGGTCAGCCCTCTGCAATCAGCAAGATTGCTGGGCTGTGGATAGCACTCACTGCCTGAAAAACATTTATTGCTTGATCCATACAGAGCTACATGACCACATAGTTTTCAACTCTGAAATTTCATTGAGGTAAGCTAAACTTCAACAAAATTTTCTTCATTACCCATAAAAATAGTTGCTGTAACTGACACAAAGATTTGAAGTGACTCGTGGTGAGGTGGGGCATTGAAACACATGATGGAAAGGCCATGACTGCTCTTCAGTGGCAAATCCAGCAAGAGAGGTCCATGAAGCACCACTCAGAGGGCACACTTTTCAGTAGAGAAGAGTTTGGGGAGTATGTAACACCCGTCCTTGACACACTAATGTCATTATTGCTGAAAAGTTACAGAAGTCATTACTTTATCTCATATGCGCTTAAAAAAACAAAAAAAAATAACAACAAAAAAAAAGTCACTTGCTTGGGACCACCTGTTAGCTTTCTAAGCCCTGGGCTTGGTCCCCAGTTTGAAGCAAGCATAAATAGGGAAACCACAATGTGATAAACTGGACACCCTAACACCAAGCCCCTTCATCTCAAATCATTGCGGCATACTTCAAAATATGCACATGCCAATCCTCTCTCTTAGAATAACCTAGAACAAGGAAAACACTGGGAAAGTGCACATAAACCTTCTGGAATCTCACAGATTATCTTTGAATTCAAAGATACTGAGATTAAAGCTAAATATCAAGATCAAGCTTATTTGCTTGGCAGAGCAGTATAGCCTTCAACGCACAGCCTGAACAAATGTTGACAGTTGCGTGGGTGAACAGAAATCTATTGGGCAGTGCGGGCTCACCACTAAGCCCTGGGAGCCAAAAATGTATGACACTTTCACAACAGGAAACTTTGTCTTCTGAGTCCACCTATACCCATATTGCCGATCATTTATTCTCCACGTCGAATAAAGAATGCCACATTTCAAATCTTAAGAGTTTCACAGCTCTCAAAATTACTAGGCCTGCTTGTGCTTTGGTACAGGGACACAGTTTGATCTGATAAACTCCAGACATAGTATAAAAGGAAAAAAAAAAAAAAAAAAAATCAAGAATGACTAGTTCTAATGACTAGTTCTATATTACTCACAGAAGAAAACAAACATGCAACCTTTTCCTGTCTTTCAAGAAATCAGAAGCTCCACAGAACACTTAGTGTGAACAAAAAGTCACTGTAGAAATTTATATCTTTCTTTGAAAATAAATGGGAAAAAACATGATCTCCAGCACCTAAGTGAATCAGAGGGTTGTGCTCTATGGTGGCAGTTTTGTTTGTTATAATGATCTTGAATTACTAGTTATTCTTTCAGAGGTAGAAGAATAGGAAGTGAAAAGAAGATGGCTATCAGGTCATGCTGAGGAAATACCATAAAGAAGCAATGTGAGCTGTTTCAAAAAGTGTGGAAGACCTCTTGCTCACCATTTAATTTTTTAAGTATATGTGATCAAAAGTTTAGAAAAGGCCCTGAGGTGTCGGCTTGAAAGTAGGTGCAAACCAAATCTGATCTGGAGAGGTGCCTGAATGACGATTTCAGCTGGGTATTTCAGAGCCACCTTGCCTACAACTCTGGCAAAGAAATCCTACTGGTGGTGGAGGTCATTGTAGTTATGCTCCTTATCTTTTTTAAGCTCTTGTTTACTGATTATTTGTTCAGGTGATTAATCTCAGTATTACTTTCTGTGGAAACTCGCCTATATCAGATGGACTATCATGATCCCCAATCACATCAAGTGCACAGGTTGTACCTTCATTTGTCCCCAATACCTACTCTCAGTGATTAATTCTCCGCAACCCTCACTTAAACAGTAACTGCGGCAACTTAGTCAGAACATGGAAGTATACTGTTCATTGGTTTGTAGAGTAAGTTTTATCCTTGATACTACGCACTTTTTTAACTTTGGCAGTCTCCAAAGATGGAATGCATTTTGAGAGTTTAAGCTACTTTGTAAACAACAACAAAGTATACCAATCTCCTTATAAAATCCACGTAGTTCCAAGTATTATTTGCTCCAGAATAGATTTCTGAGGTCTTTTAAAGTCAGTATTCATTCCAGTTACACTAAGCTACAGAGAAAGATTAACAGTAAAAGTAAACAGCCTTGATAAGCTGTTCGATTCTTCTAGTAAAATTGTCTTTCTTCTGTTTTAGAGGGGTCTTCCAGATTTTGCAATATGGATGATTCACACCAAGTAAAAGTTGAAAGTACTTTGTTCAGAGCAAAAGAGATAACATACTACTAAGAAACCATATTTTCTTGTTACAATGCCATCTACCTAAAAGATCTGTTATATAAACAGATGTAGCAAAATGGCCCATATCTTACCTCCTCTGTCAAGATGGTCAAAACCACACTAGTCTTGAACTGCTTGTTACCCTATCTCAAAAAATAAACAAAACAAAACAAAACCCAAGCTTTAAGAATTCCCCCTCAGACTTGTATTTACCTTAGTTACTCATTTACCAGTGAGAACCTCAGTTGTTTAAAGACTGAAAATGTGCATGGGACAAGAAAATATAAAGCTAGTTGTCCAATCAGTCAAGCTAGCAAGTTAGACCTCATTTGGAGATTAGATGGACACTGATGTGCAGAAAACAAACAAAACCAAAGAAAACCCACAAAAAAATCCTGAAACTATGGTCAACTGAGAAAGAAAACTACTACATAGAGAACTATGCTTTGATATCCTCTTCCACTATTGTAGTAGAGATTGTTGTGAAATACTCTGCACGTTGTTTGCCTCAGGAAAAGATAACAGAAAGAGAAGCAAGCAAGGTAAGATTTTCAAATGGGCATCAAAAGACAGAAACATATAACTGCTGCAAGCACACGCAATACCAACAGATCTTTAATGAAGTGGCCTGGAAGAGTTTTATACATTGTGCAAGACATCATCAAGTTGGCAAAACTCACAGCAATCAGCTGAGTCAACATGAACAATGCTGAATACCAGCACACAGTTTTTCCCCAAAAACGCCTTTCCAAATTAGTAGGAAGAGATTATCTGTGCTAATCATGATGTTCATTATTTAAGGACTTATGCAGGTTATATAGGAGGAAGAGGCTTTCTATTAAAGCATTCAACAGGACAACAATCACACAAGGTAACAAAATAGATCAAGTTCTTACTCAGAAAAAGGAAGAACGAGGGCTGCTGAAACCAGAAGCAGTCTCTGCTTTTGATACCAGCAATCCTGATTAAGGCAAGTAGAATTTGATTTTCTACATGATTTTAAAAGCTCTCTTCCCCAAAGCAACTGCTTCACGTGAATGTCTGTAATAGAAGTACTAAACTGTACGAAACCCACACACGTTTCCAAAATATGCTCAGGCAGCCCTTGGCTAACCCGCTGAAATCCAGCATTCACAACATAATCAGCATGTGTCCAGCTCCATTCTCCCTGTACCCTGCCTGTTTCCAAAAGCCCCCCTCAGGCTGGCCCTATTGGCAGCATCCTGATGTACTTACTATTCAGTGAAGAACCTGGCAATGCCATACTGACTAATATCTTCTCTGTTCTCCAGCAGCTGGCTCACTGCATCCTCCATGTACGTGAGGACATGTCTTTGAGCTGCAAATAAAAGACAGTAAGAGACAGAAATTAGAATACAAGGGACCTGCAAAGCCCAGCGCCAGACCAGCCTAGTTGTGTGCCTTACACAACAAGCCAAGCAGCATTTGCTCCCTCACTTGGAGAGTAGAGGTTTCATTCTCCCAGATATGGATAGCAGAAAGCAAGATTTAGGTCAGGAATTTTTTCTCGGCTACACTGAGTTAGTCACTGACAGTGCTGACCCTTTTTTAAAATCCCCTGAGATTCTGGAAGTGAAGGAAGAGGAGAAGGACTTGTGAGATGGCCTTGATAGAAAATGCTTGTGCAAGAGGAGCTCCTGATCTCTGTTCTGAGTCACAGCCATCTTTTCTATAGAGATTATTGATGCCATATCAATGGGGCTGCTGCAGAGCTTCAGGCGTTCCCTGCCCTTCCCTCCTTACCAAAGCCAAGTAGCTCTAAGGTTGTTCTGTAGGTTTTTTTTTTCCTAAAGTTGCAAATAAAAGTACCTCCGTTTCCATACCAGCATCAGTGAATGTTCTTGGAGTGGCAGGTGGGGAACAGGTCTCAATGCCAAGAGAGATTTATATTGCTCAACAGTCAGTCTCAAATAACTGCCTACACCAACCATAAGGAAATTTCAGAAGTGGTGGATCTGCCAGCACCCAACCACAGAATGCCACTCACTTATAAGACTCCTGAGTAAGGATAGTTTGGTACAACACAAACCATTTTGCTGCTTCTACAGGGGGCAGACTCTGTCCAAATCAAGAATTTGCCAGGGAGGAAGCAGCACACATTTGCTACTGAGCCCCTTTGATGTTTTTGGCTAGAAATCAAGTTGGAGCAACAAAGAGCCGAGTCTGGGCTGATGCGCCAGCTACCAAGCAGTAGACTTTCCAAATCTACAAGTTCAATGATCAGAAGACAAGTCACAACGAACCCAGGAAAATCATTCCTAACCTGGAAAGCGCACAAACCCTGTTCCCAAAGCACACACCTCCATCCTAAACACGTATGCTACTGCACCTTTGCAAGTAGTGTCGTGTCCTAAAAAAGAGCAGGAGAAAACCCTGAGGGGATATAGGAAAGGCAAGGGCTGTTCTTGCTCCTTGCCAATCTGCTCCAGACTTGGCAGCATCACGCCCTCACCAGCAACTGGCCAACCTCAGACCCACATCAATATTCTTCAAATCATTTTAATTTGTGTTTAATATCCTGGTAAGCATCAAGCCCGCGCCACTTGACACACAGCATGGAACTCCCTTTCACCTTAGTGTGGGGCAGGTGGACTTCAAGAGAGGCCCGGAAATTATTATTCCCAGTGGATATAGTGATTAAAAGTATGTATGAGCATTGATTGCTATCAGGGGATTTCTCTGCCTAGAACACTTTTCAGGACAATGGTAAAATTGGTTAAGCACACCCTGGAAAATACCTTGCAGCTGATAGAAAAATGGTGAGCCAAAGGTTCAAAGATATTATCTGGTACTAAAAGATACAGGGCGTAGCTTTATTTAATTATTTTAATGCAAAGGAATAAATTTAATTTATGTGAGTGATTAAAGAAAAATAGCTCTGCACACCTGTGTCCCCTGAGGGAGGAATGAGTCGTGCAGCTCAGTCACAAGCTCAAGATAACAGCAACTGGGTAACTTTATTTCAGCCCGTCCTTCTTCCCCCTTCATTACGCAGCCCATCCTGCACTCAGAAACTGTCTTCCCAGGCCCCTCTTGAGCCGTCAGTGGCACCAGGTTAAGCCAGAAAACAGTACTAGCAGACAGGCTTCCACTCATCTCGGCCTGCAATAAACTTCTGCTCAACTGCAAAACCATTCGCAAAACTTTGTGGGGAGGTATACACTCTTTTCACAGAACAGCCCCTATCAATGACACATATTTTCGTTATTTCGCTTCTTCAGAGTCATTAACCTCTCCCCTAAAAGCCTATGGGGATAGACAGGCATGGTCCCACAGTGCTACACAGCACCATGTGGATGAATTCTATAACAAATACCTTTGAGTCTGCTCCTGGAGAATAAATTAACACCAACACAGAATTTCAGACATTTCTGTCACACTTAAAAATGTGCACAAATATATATGGGTCACTATTGAATACAGACACTGGTAACGGGTATTTCTGTTAAGCTTTTTGTTGCACGGCCTAAGGATCCTGGCAAACGACCTCTCTCCCTATTTCCCAGAAGATAGGTAGAAGCATGGAGGAGGGAAAAAACTGGTGGGCAGAGAAGCTGAAAGAAAATAGCACTTGCAATCTCCTTGAGAAGTCTCTCTCTCTGGCTCTTTGGCTGCTGCGCTGTTTTCCAGGTAGCACAGTTCACACTGCCAAACCAAATTCCAGCTCCAGCTTCCTGTTCACTGGCTGCCCAGTTCCGTGGAACGGTACAAGTAGTATGTTTTATAACCCAACCAACTCTACCCTACACAGAAAAGTCATAGAACAAAATTTAATTTGCAGGCAAGTTCTATAGCAGGCCAGAGAGGCAAAATACAGTGCCAGGAGTCTGGTTATAGCAAAATAGTAGTTCCATAATTCATATGAAGGGTACTTTCCATAACAAACACTGGAACCATACTGGAACATTAACTATTTATGCAAGCAGAGTTCAAAATCTGTGGAGTCCTGTGCAAAATAAATGAGGTGATTCATATGTTTTAATAGGTTTTGAAAATTCAGGGATATAACGGTATATCGGTATATATGTTGCTCGTATTTTTGAGGCTCACTTTGTAATAATAAGGCAGCAAGTCCAAATGCTCACACAACTGCGCTACTACAGCTTCCTGTCTCTACTAATTTTCTTCCTCATAGAATTCCAGTATCCTGCAGCTTCTACACAGGAGGTGGTAGTACAACAGGTTAACCTCAGTATTTATTTGTTTGTGGTTTATTGCAACAAAGGCTCTCCTCCCTACTTGTACAAAACTTTACACTGCAACCCGCATTTGCTAAACTCTTCCCTGAAATCCCATGCAACTACCCCAAACAGTAAGTAAATGTGCCTGCCACACATACTTACTAGTAGTAGGTGCTACTCTGCTGTCAGATTTAAGAACTACCAGGCAGCTTTCACAGAGCGATCTAACAGAGTAAGTTCACAGAGGAGTCTTCAGGCAGCCCATGACCTGATGTTAAGTAGATACCTTTGCACAAAATATCTTCTTATCACTGAACCACTAGCAGTGATGTTACACTTGAAGCCTCTGCCCAAGCAGCACCAATATGTACAGTACAGCTCCTCCAAAACTGGCTACTGCAGCACTTTGGAGAATGGCCTCTGATGGTACTACCACCACATCCATATGTTCACACCCCACCATCACTCACGTGCCCAACATTTAGAGTTATTTTTGGAATTAATGCCTTTTGGCTCAGAATCAAATTCAGGGCTGAACAGTGGCTGTTCAGTTCAAGCATGACCAGACCAAATCATATAAATCTCCTCGTGCTTATAAGGCAAAACGAGGATTATATCCACAATCCACAATCTATATGAACTTCACTACAACAGATTAGACTGCACCAAATCATTTTGCATGTGTATTTAAAATAGTAAAACTAGTCCTTTTATAAGCCACCGAATGAGTTGTTTCAATCTTCTTATGAGAACAACCAACCTGCCAATTCATAGGTTTGATTACAAATATTGTAACAAGCATTGATACTTGACAAATCTTGAAAGGAAAATTTAATGCAAATAATACCACTGCAAACGTGATATATGCACTGAATTTCTCAAAGCCAGAAATTCAGAAGGAAGGAAGGAAATACATATCATTTTTAAGCAATGATATTGTATATGTGTAATATTTTTATTTTCAGCAGTACTCAGGAACAGAGACAATTAAAACCTTGAAGTGCCACACTACGGTTTATGTCAGTTACGTGATACCTACTTCAGCACATAATGACAACACAATCATGTTAACCATAGTGGTTTTGCATATTAGTTTCCCAGTGTTACAATTTAGATACATCACCCTAATGCTAGATCGATAAGAAGATTCTCTTTCCAACAAGTTTTCCTTTTTTAAAGGAAGAGAAGAAAAACTAAAGATTGGTATACCAGCACACTTACCAAGAAGTGATACTGCCCGTCATACCTGAAAGGAATAGCAAACATGGGATGGCCAGAAGATGAAATAAAAATGGCAGCAGATGCTGCAAAAGAAAAATGAAGTGTACCAAATGACCTGAAGAAAGAGTATGATTGGAATAAGAATAAATTGGTATCAGATAGTAAAACATCTATCATGTACCTTGTTTAAAGAAGCAGCAGAAGTAAGTGTCAAATTATTATCAAATCAGCTAACTACATTATTGTTTTACTCTTCATGAGAGAGGACTTATTCTGGAACATGAGCTATCAAAACAATTTGTACTGCATGCACATAAAAGGGCTTTTTTTTTTTTTTTTTTTTTTAATGGCTAGTTCATTCCTGGCATAACTGAATATGTTAAAAAATCAGGAGTGGGAATTTCTGGACAATAAGACCAGTTTTCATTAATTATCTGCCTCCTCCTCAACTGAAGTGCCAAAAATACACATTATTTGATGCAATTAATATTACCATTTATCTCTGTTATCAGAAGTTCAAGAGCACAACAAACTTTAATGTATTTGGAATGTTTCTGGCATTTTTTAATCTCTTAAGAGCATATAAAGTAACAGCTAAGTACCCTTTCCGAATTTATTCTAAATTCAAGCTTAACTAAGGACACTACTGTATTATATACATTGGAAAGACACATCTATAGTAACAAAAAATCAATTCCATGCAAATATTACTAAAACAATAATGATGCAAGAGGGAATTAGTAAGGACACAAACTGCAAGAACAATATCACGTCAACTCTGGAAGTTTTTCCAGCATTAATGGTTTTTCAGGATGCTGCTCTTAATCTTTTCAGATATCATTAGGGATATAACCTCTCCAAATATCACTAAGAAATGGCCTGAGCAAGAGAAGTAATGTAAACAAACAATCAACCTAAAAGCTAAATCACTGTACAGCTGTAGTTCCTTCCAGCTTTCCACAGCTTCACAACGTAATTTACTATTAACCTTCCAAAAAGTATTTTTTTTTTGAAGGACAGAACATGTAACAAGGTACAAGTAGACCTTGTCATACCAGAGGTAACACTATGGTTCAAGACATGCTCTGTTACTCAGGAACACATGCTAAGTAGTCACACAGCATAATTATACTGTATTTCAAATGCTCACAGTTTCAAGATCACTTTCAACAAAAAAATTTAAGAAATGTTTCAGCTTATAATTTAATCTTGACCATAACTGAAAATTTGTTTTGAGCAATTAATGAGAAAATTAGTCACAAACCATGATATTGTACTCTTTGTTTGCACTCCTGAGGCTGCACACTGATAGAATCATCTGAGTCCTTCCAGCAGATTGCCTCCTGCAGATGTCATACAACTGCTAGAAATCACCACCTCACCAGTGCAAAATTGTTGATCTATCTTTAAAAAAAAAAATAAATCTGAATTTATGCAGTGTATTACTAACATTGTGGAAGCAATTGTCATACTCAAATGTAGAAGAACTGTGTACTCTCTAGTTCTGGGAACTCTACCTAGATCAAGATCAAATTTCACCCGTTACCTTTCAAGTTAAGGTGGAAGTCCTGTAGTGCAACAGCAGGTTTGTGGATGAAACCTCTATCTTTTGGAGAAAGTACTAAAACGAGTCTAAGAAGATTCAAACTTAACTTTTCTACAAGCAAACTCTTACACATCAGTGGAGAAATTCATCTTCCATGTTATAGCTCTCCTATCTGTACAACAGAGCAATAAATAATAAAAAAAAAAAAAATAAAAAAGGCATTCTCTTTTTTAGTCCCTAAACTCAGCCAGAGCGCCTCACAGAAGTTCATCAAATAGCTAGACTAAGAGGAGACTCAGTGTCAGCTGGGATGTCTGAATAACAATGTAACCTAAACATTGATTATTGATTATGCACTTGGACTTTCCAACTCAATATTTCTTAAGACTGTTCAGAAGAAGAGTAAACCCTAGATATCTGCAAAGTCTCTACACAACTGAAGTTCTCTGCTGGGAGCTACTCAGTTTTGTAAAAGCACCGATACCATGAATGTTCTTTCTAAACAGGAAGCCCGAGACCTCTTATAAGAGAGATGAGGAAACGACCATGTTTCTGGCACTTAATAGCCCCATGCTTTACTGATAAGGCACTTCTCTAACAGAGTATTCATGTTCTTACATGTCTTAGATTGGCAAAGGAAGAAAAGAAAGCACATCCTGGAGTTGGGGAGTAAAGAGGAAGAGAATCCAGAGAAAAATAAAAAATTCAGAAATTTGCAACGATCTACCGCTTTTTCTCCATAACAGAAAAGGGGGAGGAAGGAATACAATTTGAAGCTTCAGAAAACAGCAGCATGAGCAGAACAATACACTAAGTGCTCCATTGCCTGCTATAAATAACTGAGCAATCACCAGCTATTAAACCATAATGAAGAAGGCATGGAAAAGTGTCTCAAACAGGCCTCATTTTGCCTACTGTAGTTCCAGTCTCATCCATCAAATGAAAACACATTTTCATCACTATCCCCCAACACTAAATGCTGTTTATTCAGTGAAAATACTGTTTAAAATGTCCTGCCTGTTACAACATCTTCACCGTAGCCTGTCTGCCAACTCGGCAGACCTCATCTCCTTTTCTATTCACCAAGTATTGGTCATCTCTGTTCTTCTACTTACTGTCTCACAATTCTTGTGGCATAAGGCATGTTGCCCTGAATTTTATTTTCCAGGAACTCTGCTGTACCAAAGCTTTGCAATTACTTTTCCTTTTAAGTGAATGCTTAATTCTCTCCCTGTTCACTTCTATTGTAACTCACAGCTGCTTCTATTTCCTTCTTAGCATCAAAATTGGACATGAAAGAATCACTTCAAATAAATAGGAAAAAAAGGAAGAAAAAAAAAAAGTAATGTGGCAAGTAGCATGTAATGTTATTTTGGCCACTCATTTTATTTGTTGGTCTGGTTTTGATACTAAAAAAGGGAAAGGGGAAAAAGAGATTAGGTGAAGCTTGATCATTCCAGATCAGGGAAGACAGTGCCATCTGACCTGGGAAACTCAGAAAATACCTCATGAGGCAGACTGGAGCAACACAGAATGAAATTACAGAAATAGAAACTCATCGCAATTGCTTACAACTCCACATCAGACGACTATATTAACAACACTTGGAGGCACATAAATCACAGTTATTTGTATTTGTTCTATTCAGAATGCCAGGACAATGTAGGAAACATAAAAGCATCTTATGAAAATGTGTGGGGAGGTGTGTTTACTTTTGGGGGGTTGGTTTGCTTTTTAACCACCTTCTTACTGGTAATACACAATTCATTCAGTGGGGTCTGTGAGCAATTCGGTAAGTTACAAAGTCTCACAAAGACAAAAACATTGCTATTGGTAACATTTACAGCTAACAATACCATCATCTAGCAGACACTTCTTCCCCCACTAACAACAGATACTGCAACCTAAACAGAAGAGCATACCAAGTGATTAACAGAACAGGCTCTTACACAAGTTTTTGCTCAACCCGACACACACACACACGTGTGTCTTTTTCGGAACCCAATGTCAGAATCATTTAGAAGGTTTTACAAAATGAAAAGGGAATGGTAGATCATTATGTAGAACACAGATAAAAGGAGGCTCACTTTAAGTAGGTTAATAAAGCTGCTTGCACCTAACAATCTTGCATATCTCTTAGAAGTCTCATTTCTCAACTTCAAATATGAAATGGAAAACTGGTTTATTCTTACATTTTAAGAATTTTTAGTCTGCTTCCTAGATTGTTTTGACTGATTCAATCCTTACTGACAAGTTTCACATAAGTAAAAGTTAAGTGCCTATTTCATTAAAAACAATTAAACGAACCTAAAACCAAGTTGGCTTATTAGAAAAAAAAAAAAAAAAAATGGAAAGGAAATTTTGCAAGTTTCAGCCTAGAGCAACTCTGGAAAAGTTATGAGTCTCTCTATTAATGCGTAGGTTGAAAATGCTGATGTAGTGTGATAGAGTAGCACAAAACCAAAAGGTATATCTACATGGCACACTGTGATACTGTTCTCAAATACCTTAACTAGCTCCAGAACTTAAATCAGCAATAAGAACTTCAGCAAAATGAGACTCCAGGGAATCACCCTGAACAGAGCACTAAAGAAACTCTTATTTCTGCCTTGAGTTTCCTTAACACAGAATAGCACTGCAGTTACATAGGTATGCACGAAGTACCCTAACAGCAGCCTAGCAGCAACACCATAAAGAGATTCTACTCTAAGATGAATCAGATCGCTCCTTTGCTTAAATACTTCATATCTTTTTAGTGCTATAATGTGCTTTGAAAGAACAGTTGGATCCTTCCTCATTGATACTATTGCTAGGCTGAACGAACTAAACTCTTTTGGCGTCCTCCCTGCAAGAAGGTTTTCCATTTACTGGAAGCCAGCAGTGTTTCTCTAGTCTTGTCCGTTTTGACTTACCCAAGACCACAAAATCATAGTGGAACAAGTAGCACAAACTAATCCATGCCGTTTCTGACCTTTCCTTGTACAAGAAAGCCACACTGATTTATGTATACCTTTATAACAGTTATTACCAAACAGCCTCTCAGGCCTAGAAAATAATGGCTGAAAAGTTTCACTTCAAAAATACTGTATTGAACACACTCCAAATGCTTACTACTTGTAATTCATCTCCTCTTTAACAATTAAATGAAGTCATAGTGACTTTATGCCATCCTAATTATTTTTATTTGACACATTAACACCAAATCCCTTTGCTCCTTAGTTTCCTGGAACATCAAGCAATAACACAAACTGTTAGAGCCCACTTAAAAGGATGGAGTTAGTCTGCAAGGGAGCGGCTGCTTTGTAAGTTAAAAGACTTCCATTTTATGTGGGAAACATTACCTTATTTCTGAAGGAGAAGCTGACATTCAAACCACCTCCCAACAGGGGAACAGCAGTCCTTGTAATGTCGGGAAATGAACACGAACTAAGACTGCTGACACAGATCTGTGAGCAAAGCGGGTTGATAACGGGCTGGAAAAAGCCCCAGCCTGCCACAGATCACCGGGACGCCGCTTGCCCCTACTCGCACCGTGAAAAGGAGCCGGGGGAGGGGACCGCCGCTCACCTCCCCCAGGCCGGCGCCGCCTTGACGGAGACCACAACCAAGGGCAGCGGCGGGGAGCTCCCTGCCCTCCCACCTCAGGGGAGCACCGGGAGCTGCGGCGCCCGACACCACCGACGTGCCGCCCCCTCCCCAGTCGAGGAGCCCGCCACGGAGTCCCTCCGACCCGGGGTGGGGGGACACGCCGCGGGGCTGAGGCCGCTCTGCCGCTGAACACACACCACACACACCCCCCCACCACCAACAACAACCCGGGAAGGCCGGGCCAGGCCGCAGCCACCCCCCCGCCCCGCCGACACACCCAGGAGACGGGACCCTCGGGGCACTGCCCCACCGCGCCGCCCCTCACCCAGGTACTCGGGGCCCGGCAGCCGCTCGGGGCTCAGCATCCTCCCGCCGCCACTGCTGCTCCTTCCCAGCTTCCGTCCGTTTCCAAGGCGCCCGACGCTGCTCGGCCGCTCGGCCCCGACTGGGAACACGCCCCCGCACCGCCAGCGTTCCGCGCCCAAAACCGCCCGCCCTCAGCCCCCGCCCCGCCGCCCCCGAGAGGGACCATGGCGGGAGGGCCACCTCCCCCCGGCCGGTCTGCACCGGGCAGGGGCTGCGGGCAGGGCTGAGGGGGTCGTGAGTCACCTCGTGGGAAGGGTTTGTGGAGGAGCGTGGTGACATGGCGGGCTGGCCGTGAGGAAGGGGCCGTGGGTGACGTGGTGGGTTGGCCGTGAGGAAGGGGCCGTGGGTGACATGGCGAGCTGGCCGTGAGGAATTGGCTGTGGGTGACATGGCGGGCTGGCTGTGAGGAAGGGGCAGTGGGTGACATGGCGGGCTGGCTGTGAGGAAGGGGCCGTGGGTGACATGGTGGGTTGGCCTTGAGGAAGGGGCTGTGGGTGACGTGGCAGGCTGGCCGTGAGGAAGGGGCCGTGGGTGACATGGCGGGCTGGCCGTGAGGAAGGGGCTGTGGGTGACGTGGCGGACTTGGCCTTGAGGAAGGGGCCGTGGGTGACATGGCGGGCTGGCCGTGAGGAAGGGGCCGTGGGTGACATGGCGGGCTGGCCGTGAGGAAGGGGCCGTGGGTGACGTGGCGGGCTGGCTGTGAGGAAGGGGCTGTGGGTGACATGGCGGGCTGGCCGTGAGGAAGGGGCCGTGGGTGACATGGTGGGTTGGCCGTGAGGAAGGGGCTGTGGGTGACGTGGTGGGCTGGCTGTGAGGAAGGGGCCGTGGGTGACATGGCGGACTTGGCCTTGAGGAAGGGGCTGTGGGTGACGTGGCGGGCTGGCCGTGAGGAAGGGGCCGTGGGTGACATGGCGGGCTGGCCGTGAGGAAGGGGCCGTGGGTGACATGGCGGGCTGGCCGTGAGGAAGGGGCCGTGGGTGACATGGCGGGCTGGCCGTGAGGAAGGGGCCGTGGGTGACGTGGCGGGCTGGCCGTGAGGAAGGGGCCGTGGGTGACATGGCGGGCTGGCCGTGAGGAAGGGGCCGTGGGTGACATGGCGGGCTGGCCGTGAGGAAGGGGCCGTGGGTGACATGGCAGGCTGGCCGTGAGGAAGGGGCCGTGGGTGACATGGCGGGCTGGCCGTGAGGAAGGGGCCGTGGGTGACATGGCAGGCTGGCCGTGAGGAAGGGGCCGTGGGTGACATGGCGGGCTGGCCGTGAGGAATTGGCTGTGGGTGACATGGCGGACTGGCTGTGAGGAAGGGGCCGTGGGTGACGTGGCGGACTTGGCCTTGAGGAAGGGGCTGTGGGTGACGTGGCGGACTTGGCCTTGAGGAAGGGGCTGTGGGTGACGTGGCGGGCTGGCCGTGAGGAAGGGGCCGTGGGTGACATGGCGGACTTGGCCTTGAGGAAGGGGCTGTGGGTGACGTGGCGGGCTGGCCGTGAGGAAGGGGCCGTGGGTGACATGGCGGGCTGGCCGTGAGGAAGGGGCTGTGGGTGACGTGGCGGACTTGGCCTTGAGGAAGGGGCCGTGGGTGACATGGCAGGCTGGCTGTGAGGAAGGGGCTGTGGGTGACATGGCGGGCTGGCTGTGAGGAAGGGGCCGTGGGTGACATGGCAGGCTGGCTGTGAGGAAGGGGCTGTGGGTGACGTGGTGGGCTGGACGTGAGGAAGGGGCCGTGGGTGACATGGCGAGCTGGCCGTGAGGAAGGGGCCGTGGGTGACGTGGTGGGCTGGCCGTGAGGAAGGGGCTGTGGGTGATGTGGCGGACTTGGCCTTGAGGAAGGGGCCGTGGGTGACATGGCGGGCTGGCCGTGAGGAAGGGGCTGTGGGTGACGTGGTGGGTTGGCCGTGAGGCGGCGGTGACCTGGGCAGAGTTCTGCAGGGCTGAGGGACACCTCGGAGGAAGAAGAGCTAAGGAAGCTGAAGAGCCAAAATGGCACGAGGGGGTGCATGCGTAAAGGCATTCTGGTTAGATTTAGGTTGGTAAATTGGCAAGTGACTGATGCCAGGGGTTACTGGGGCTACAGCTGTGGGTGAAAGACCCTGATTTGAAGGAAATAAGTTAATAAAGGGCACTGCAGAAAACCCTTATCCCAGAGAGCAGGGACTGAACAGGGTGACCAAGGAGGTCCTTTACAGCTGCGTCCTTCTCTCCATACTCCTCTGCTGTTTTTTTGCAACCCTTGTTCTCAGGAGAGGAAGGTACGGGGAGCATCAGGAATCATCCTTCGTTCACATGGAAACTCAGAAAAGTCATGAGCCACAGGGCTTGTTCCGCTCTTGACTGGGAGCGACCTTTGTCCCAGGGATGTAGGAGAGGCAGAGCTCTTCACATGGCTGGAAGGAGACCTGCCAGGCTTCTTATCCCTAGAAGCTGATGGGGCTAAAATTCCCAAATTACTTTGTAGTTTCTTGCATCACCATTAGAAAAATCCCAGCCCAGGATGCATTCCCAGGAGGTTTGGTTTTTTTTTAAATAAATGGACAGGAAGTGTTGTCTATGTTTTTACTGACAAATGCAAGAGAACAGAAATTAAATAAACCACTTGTGTGTGGATATGACCTGTCTTTATTTCACTGAAGGAAAGAGTTGAGTGTGACTACTGGCTACTCAACTTCAATCTATACTCGAAGGACAGCCAGAGTTAAAAAGGGCAGACAGGATGTTATAACTTACCGATTCATACCAACCCCCAAAAATTGCCTGGACCACTCCACTGCTTTGGCTTGTTCTGTCTTTAAAAGGATACGGCTTAGATAGAAATATTTCAAAGATAGGCAGGGAGAATAATTCAGGCAGCAGACAGTGAGGCACTCCAGCAAGAAGAATGGAAAAACATAAGATTGTCTTAAAGAGGATAGGCATAATATGTAAAGTGATGTTATCTAAAATTATTTGTGCTACAATGAATCATAGGATCATTTAGGTTGGAAAAGACCTTTAAGATCATCAAGTCCAACCATAAACTTAACACTGCCAAGTCCACCACTAAACCGTGTCCCTAAGTGCCACGTCTACACGTCCTTTAAATATCTCCAGGTTTGGTGACTTAACCACTTTGCTGGGCAGCAAGTTCCAACGCTTGACAACACTTTTGGTGAAGAAATGCTTCCTAATATCCAATCTAAACCTCCCCTGGCACAACTTGAGGCCATTAAAAACTCTTACTTGTTCAGTTTTGCAGTTTGTGTATTTGGTTATAGGTTATAAATTTAAAGATGGGAAATTTTTTATAAAAGATACAGTTAGATTGTAGAATACATTGACACAAGATATTTTTGAGGCCAGGAATTCAGCAGAATTTAGAAAGGAAGTGGATACTTTCAAGCAGAATGAGAAAACACAGGATTATGTTGTTACACATAAAAACATAGGGGGAAAAAAAAAAGCACAACATCTGTAGGAATATGAACTATCCTACTTCACAGTGAAGCTAATTAGTGAAGACTAATGGGGTTTTGGAAAACATTTTTCCTGACGTGGTGTCTATTCCATAAGTGCTTACTTTAGGGTTTCTGGCGCTTTTCGGTGAGATCTGGTTCTAGACCACTGCTGGAGAGGAGAAACGGAATTCGATAGACCCCCTGTGATCACTGGGTTTAAGAGCACAGTTCCCTGTGCTTTTAAAACTAGCACCAAGATCTCTCTTTTCACAAGCAATCCTTTATCATCAGCCAGGCAGTTTCACTGGTGTTCAAAAGCCAAATCTAAAAGCCTTCCTCGCCCATATTGCTGGTCAGCGGAGCGGGTAGGAGCCTTCCACAGGTTGTGCACTGTTTCTTTTTTGTTGTTTGAACCGTTTCTGTAAACCACAATTTATCCTCGATCATTGTGCACTCATTGGAGCACTCATTTACAAGAGGCCTTTAAAGTCCAGTTTTAAATTCTGCATTCTAATATCTCTCTGGGATTTGTTTTCTTGTCACTGTTTGGTCTCTATGGGTAGGACTTTGTTACATCCTTTAAACCAGCTAAGGGAATCCTTTTGGACACTGAGCGCATTTGTGGTTTTAATAATGATAAGTTTCAGTAGTAGTGGCGCCTGACTGTTAACGACTCAAAGAAAACTATATAAAAACAAGATGTCATTTCTGGAGCCATTTATAGACTTCCCTGATTACTATTATTTCTCTCTGGGCTTCCCAGAGCCATGATTAGGTGATATAACAGATCAGCTGCAGCACTCACCTGTTCTCTCACACTCATGATCTGAAAAGGGAGAAATGCAGCCAGCCTGGCCATAGGTATTAAGTTTGTTTTCCCATATTGATTTTAGAACCCTAGACTAGTGCATTTTCATAAATTGAGAAGGCTTTTCTGGGTTACTGGAAAACATATGCAGGTTTAACAGCTGCCCCAAGAGGGACAAATCTAACAGGGGCTTAATGTTCTTTTGGACCCAGCTGGAAGAATGATGGTGAAAAAATGTATTTTTCTCTGTCACAACCCATTCATAGATTATCAGAGGTACAGGTCTCACTTCAGGGCAAACGTATGGAGTACACTTTTAGGTTCACCTTCTACTCTGGGAATCATGGTGGTGCTAACATCTCTTAATTAAAATTGCTCAGTTTTGTCTACCAGGGACATGTGGGTATCCAAATCAGTCTTTCAAGAAGGATCAATTGGACTACTTTGACACATTTTGTTCACACCCTCTTTCAGAGTTAAAGTAACCTTGATTTGATTTAGCTTAATTTGCTTCAAAGTGTGGTTTAAGTAGTCTTTCAGAAATCATACTTTTAGGTAAATTGGGCTAATTTGCTTACATAAGATTCCATGTGACCACAAGTTTGGAAACAGTCAGCGGTATAATTTAAGTTATGTCATGAAATAAAATTTCTTTATTGTTTTTTGATGCATGGACTGAAAAACTCCTTCCTGTGCCAGTTTTATACGTGTTTCTCAGCAATTTAGCTTAAATCAGATTGCTGTTTTCCTCCATTCCAGCATATTTTGCCCCCACTGTGTTAATTGCTTAGCTTAATCTTTGCTGGTTTTGTGTTCACCTTCCTAAATGATACTATCAATGCTGAGCTGAAATATTTTCCTATTATTAGCCAAAGTTCTCCTGAGAAACAGCTCCTCTTTCAGAGAGAGTATTATATAGAATAATAAACAGGACTAGATATCAAGCAACAAATTCCAGAGGAAATGCCTTGTTTTAAACAGAGTCAGTTTGTCTGGCTCCTATTACTTTTTCTTGGAATTAAATATTTTATTTGCTTAGAATTTTAACAATTATTGCTGAAGTAGTTACAATAAGGCCTAGACGTGTTGGAGGAAACTTACTTTTCTATTTTTTTTCTTCAGGTGACAGTTGGAAATACTATTGCTTTAAGCATTGCAACTACAATGTACAAAGATCTAGACTGTGGGCAGTCTTCAGTCCCATTCCATCTGACTTCTATGAAATTAATGTAAGCCAATTTCACAGAAACACTAGAAAGCTGTCTCTAGCCTTTATTGTTCATATTTTCAGTGTCAAAAGCCTCGTCTTATTTTAAAACAGCCAAGAGCCTGTCTCATGCAGGACTTAGATATTTTGGGGGCTTGGTGGTGCTCTGTATTTTTTTTGAGGCTTCCCACATGTTTGCTAGCTGAGCTTTAGCTAGTACATAATAATTAATAAAATTGCAGGTGTAATATCAAAATGTGTTTATCTTAAGACACCCAAAAAATAAATCGTACCAAAAGGAGAAAAACATTGACTTAAACAACTGTCAGTCTTTGTTGATAATCTGTTATTTTGGGCACCATAGCAGAGATAAGCTTTCAGGAGAGATCTGAAGAAATGGAGAATAAGAGCTTCACATGCTATTATTTATGTAAATTATTGGAAATCTTGTAACTGAAATTAGGATCCTATTATGCAAGATACTTTAAAAATCAATGGCACTGAAGCTGGATGATTCATTTATGAGTCATTTGCAAACCCATAAAAACCTCCCATTACATTTCAGATTTTATAATTATTTTTATGAATTATGACCAAACTCTCTAAACACATGCACTAAAAATAAGATTATCTTGAATAAAAAGGTCAGCCAAAATCACAATGAAATTATGTGATGAAATCTGTATTTTTGAATTGTTGATTCCTCAGGAGACATTCACAGGGAAAGATCCAGTACTTCTAGTGTTTATCCTAATCTGAACCTTCTCAAGGTGAATAAACTTTCTCTAGTTCACGTGCAGCAAGTGGTTTCGCACAACAAGTAAACCAATAATTTTTCTCTAATGATGCAGTATTAATAGTAGTTTACCTTTTCAGGAAAAAACCTAGACAAACAGGTAGGACGCAGATTGCTCTTTAAGATCAACAGACTTTAGAGAAATAAGATTCACAAAGTTTCTCACTCCTAACATCTGCCGCCAGGTGAAAGTCTGGAAACAACTGTGTGTTTTCCAGCTAGTGACAGGATATGATGACAGCAGCTGCTCTCTTAAGTAGACAGCATTTGTACCATTAAAGGGTTTAAATTTGACACCTGTAATTGTACCTGGAAGTCTTAAGAATATACTTAACTGGTAAGATGTCATAAGCATGCAGGAAGCTGTGCTGTGAACATTATGCCATCGTAATTTATTTTTTATTTGCTAGTTTAGCTGCATTTTAGTCTGGATTGCTGAGATTTTATTTTTCCCCTTGAAACAGTCTTCTACTCCTCAGTCATAGGAGTACTTTGAAATTCTGGGTGATCTGTTTATGAAAAGAGGGAGTATTATTACATCTTATGGAAGCCACATCTTCATTTAAAAACCAGGGATAGCTGTAAATTGTATGATAGATTCCTGGCACGTATTAAATGCACTGTCCAAATTCTGGTCAGTTTTGAGCTTAGTGTTAGCAAGCACAGTTGGCTTTTTTGCAACAGCAAACTGTTGAAAGGCTCTCCTTCAGTTTTTGTTCCCATTATCTTGTCAGGAAGGAAAGGACATCTTTAAAAGTACTTAAGTACCAAGCAAGTGACCCTTCTCTGCTGGAATGCTGCCCCATTAATGATGCAGAGAAGAAAAACAGCCATTTCTGGCAGAGTTTGCAGGATCTCTCATGCCAAACAAAAAAGTCTAAAATGCCTGGTAAAAATAAATATCGCTATGAAATTCTGGCATAGGAAGCATTTCTGACAGCCAAGGCTTAGCTCATCCTGGGGGGTAACCCAAGAAGGCCTGCAATTTTAATTCTTCGTTCCTACTCATCGAATGTTCCTTGCAAACTTAAGCTGCCAGACTGTGTTATCTATTAGACCAGGTGCCTGTGTGAGAAGATTATAATAAGTTAATGGCTCTGTGTGTGTGCAAGAGAGTAGGCAAAACTGTGGGAATGAGCTGTTGCTTCTTGGGCTGAAGTGAAGCAGTAACTTTGTTGGCTATACTGGCCAGCTCTTATGGGAAAGGTATATAACTTCCTGTGTGCAGTACAGAGATTCAGCACATTCAGAATACTCTGGAAGTATTCTGTCTTACAACATCTACATGGAAAAGCAAAAGATGGAAGCAAGGAAAAAAAAAAAAGGGCAAAAGAAAGACGAGATCACAGATTCATTAAAATAGTGGAATTCTTGCAAAACAATCCTTAATTCTGTTTGTTATGTACACAAAAGAGAGCCTGAGTATTTATTAGAGCTGTTGGGAGAGAGCACTGCTGAACACTGCAGCTATGCAAGAGCTGAAGTCAAGTTTTTAATTTTAATGAAAGCACACATTGGTAACGCAGTCATTCACTCTGTAATAATAAGAGAACAAAGTGATCCTTTCTGCTACATAATACTCAAGGTGTTTTCAAGAGTAATGTCTTTGTGGATTTACTAGAAGATAGGGACCAGGAGGTGAGATAGTGGTTGGAGCACTTAGGAAAAGAAGCTGAGGAGCAGTGGATGGGAGATGGAAAGGGTAGTATGCAAATGACTTACCGAGACAGAAGATAAGCGATGGGAGACAGCAAATAACAGTAAATTAACATCGTGTCAATCAATTCTAAACAGAATAGAGGGAACATGGAACATTTTCCAGAATGTGGGAACACTGAAGACATTAATGAGTTTTTATCTGAGGAATGTATTTAAATTTCTCTTTTGATTTTTTATCATGCTAGTTTCTAAAAGACAGCAAAAACAGATTGACCATTTCACATTTGAAACTGATAATGACATGTTAGATAGTATGAAAATGTCCTTAAGGTTCCAAATCTTTATCTGTTAAACTTTACACAGTGTTAGTGAAAGAAGAGTTATTCCTTGAACACTTGAAGTTTGGATGTGGATCAGAGTTTCTCTCAAAGTCTGTGACTAGAGTTAATTTCTGATATTTAGTAAACATACTCGTTTGCTCTGTGTGAAACAGAAACCTGCAGTGTCTGTGACAAGGTTTTCACTGTGCATTAAAAGCATGGTTCTGTGCTTGCTGAAGTCACTGATAAGCTTTCCATCAACTCTGCTGACCTAGAATGAAGCATAAATTAAATGAAAATTCAATATTCAAACCCACATTACCTTGAAGTCTCAGAATGCTAATATTATGTTAATATTCTTAAGTATCCTAAAATCCTAAAATTGCAATGACATGGGCACAAGTACCTGTGGCTAGGAGGGAGGTTGGACATGTGTGCATACGCGTGGGTGGCTGATCTCAGACTCACACAGAGGGTGTGTGCAACTCTGGATCTTGGTCCCACCTATGCCTTTATTCAGGTCTAACTTAGTGCTGGTAAGAAGCAATTAATTTGTTCCTTCATTCACATTTATCAAGAGCTAATGTGAGAGAGGGAGAGGTGTTAAGAGGCGTCTCTGATTCAGCCACCTGATAGGAAAGCAGATGGTTGACATGCCACATCTCTTATCAGAAAGACTCAAGGGTTATATCTTGTGCATGCTGGCAGGACTTGCCTAACCCATCATGCCAGTAAAGTATTAGAACTGAATCATCTTCAAGAAAGAAAACACTCTTTATCTGTCTGTCTACATTTTTACATGTCACTCATCTCCATAGTGGTAGGGCTTCTGCAAACAAGAAAGGTTTGTGAGTTGAGAGAAAGATATGTGTATGTCTTTCACGTCTATTCCCATGACTACTTGTTTCTCTTACAGGCTCAGTTAATACATGCTAGTTTTTTGAGAAAGGAGAACTCAGCCCATCAGAGATATTCCACATACTGAGATGTAAGGTCACTTTTCTTTCTGGTTGTGTGAGTGGTTTCTACCACGAACTTTTTATCTGAATACGAAGACTATTGATGACAAACTACATTAATAGCTTGAAGTCAGAGGTCTTCAGTTCTTTGGAAAATGCTTCTCTGTGCAGTCAAAAATTAATTTAGGAGCTTGCTACTTATCCATTTGAATGTGTTTGGAGAATAAAGGTGGTTAGGCTTCTGTCTTCAAACAGAATTCTTCTACTGCTAGCTTTTAAAAGAACATTTTCCTTTTATGCTCATCATCTTTTCTTTTTTTCTGTGCCAGAGTCGAGGTATTAAGCTGTGCTGTTCCTAAGGCTAGGCCACCGGCTACCTTTGCAATGCAGACATTGTGCAAGGCCTGGGTAATTGCCATTTCACTGCAGGGAGGAGTCTCATCTGGAATAGAAGAGAGTGTATTTGCATTATTTTTACATAGAGGATGTAAAGGAACCAGCAAAAGAAGGAGCAGAACCAGCTTGCAAGACACCCAGGAAGAGCTACCATCTCAAAGAAAACATGAAGAAAGGTTTGGTTTTGTTTTTTTTTCCCCTAGTTTAAGAGCCAATTTACTTAGTGGTTTGTTGTTTTTTTTTTTTTCTTCCCAGAGTTGAAGATTGAACAGCCTGGCGGGTTGGCTTCAGTCTCACCTTCCAGACATGCATGAAAAAAGGGGGGGTTCAGATGAATCTGCACTTTGGTCATTAAAGGACCTTTCGCAAGATTCTTCATATCTCAGCTTCTGAATGTAGGCATTTCATGTAATTTTTAGTTTTCCTGTTCCTCACTGCAAAGTAGAGTTAATGGTGGTCCATGAGATGATCACAATGTTTCCCAAAGTAAACGCGCTATTGGAATGCTTAGAAAGCAGCGGATAAATGAAAGGTGAAGAAAATTAAGTAACACGTAAACTCTGACTTGTTGACTGGAATTTTATTATGTTGTAAATGGAAACAATTGTGGTAACACTGCAGAAGATGGCACGTGGATTACTGTTCTCTTAAGAGTAAGCGAGTAGTATCTTGGGAAACACTGTAAAGGACAATGGTGACAGGACTTGAACACTTACGACATCTATGAGCGTATCTGTGCCCAGTTTATGTACTGGGCATGACATCATATGGTATGGAATATTCCCAAATCTTTGCCTTCTGGACAGCCCGTGATCACTTCCAAAATTCCTGTGGTTTCCCCTTCGAGTCCGTTGTGTGATCAGTGCAACCCACTTACTCCATGTAGCATCAGTTGCACGATGTGTAGAGGGGACTTTCCCTTTGAACATCCCGGCTGACACCGCCTGTCAGGGTGCTCATAGGAGCTGTTAAAGGGTTGGTGAGTCCTCCTGATCACCCCTTGGTTCTCCAGTTGCCGAATCAGCGCGTGGGTGGGAATCAGGGGGTCTCGGTTGGTGCGATCTTGCTGCCGGTGCACCGTTGTGGTAGCGATTGGCACCTCATGTTCTCCAACCCTCAGCAACCCCAACACCAAGTGGTCCTTCTAAGTCACTGCTTAGAAGACTTCAGGGAAGGCAACAAGGAAAAAAGTGATAGCATAAAATAGAAATCAATTCTAAAGTTTCATTTAATGTTTTTAACACAGAGACCATCCTTTACAAACTAGATCACCAGCTGTTAAAGCTGTAATTCCCTCAGCTCTTTGGAAAATTAAACTGTTTCTTTACACGTCCAACAGTGAATTCGGAGGCCCAGATGTATAACTGCATCTTCCTATGTATGGGTAAAATCTTGACTTCTAACTCGCCTGGTATTCCAAGCTACCACTGCTTTGGTTCAGTGGTGGCACTGAAGAGGGAACTGATGTGGGTAATGTAGCAGTGAAATAACAGTAGAAATTAAAAGGACCGTTGGAAAATACCATAGTCTGATAGCATGGACCCTGTGATTTTATCTTGAATCTAGAGCTCTGGTTGGGAAGAACTTACCGTTTCCTTGGCTTATCTGTTTAGTTAGTGGAGCTCACTAGTAATAAGGAATTTGATCAACCAGAGTGCAGAGTTTGTAGTGATTTTTCCAGTTAGACTTTTCTGAATTTTATCCATTGTGGAACTTAGGTTTGGGAGGGGTCCCAAAAGATCACCTAGTCCAGCCTGCACTGCATCAAGACTAAAGATATCAAGGCTAGCACCAGCATGCTCATCAAACTTTATTCTTAAAAATTTACAGTAGAAGAGATTCTACAGTCCTCCAGTGTTGAAAAATCCTCAGCTGGAATAGTGATCAGCAAAATCTTTTAAGCATTTCTTGACACAAATCAAATTGACTCTTTCATGGCTTTCTAGTGGAGCCATAGAGGATAGCTGATCAACATCTCTCTAATGAGCTTGTAGGTATCAGCTGCATCTCACTTGAAGCTTTTATTTTCTTGACTCGTCAAATCTAATTCCTTCAGCTTTTTCTCAAAGGGTTTGTTTTCTAAACTTCTTGTTCTTGTTGTTACTTTATTGTTTCTCTTCAGCTGTATTTGTATTTCTAAGGTGTCCAGCCAGGGCCAGATGCAATATGGCGCTCGGGGCTTCAGTACCATGCAAAGTTAAGAAATCAAACAAATTGTCTTGTATATGACACACCTGCTAATGCATTCCAGAATTAAACGTATTTTTTGGCAGTGGCACTGCACTGTTGATTTATATTGTTCATTATTCGTACAACTCTTAAGATCTGTTTTGGTTATATTTCTGTCTAGTCAGAATGTTTGTTTCCTAAGAATGTCTGTTTCCTAAGAATAATATTTTATATTTCTCATTGCTGTTTTTCTTTTGGTTGGTTTTTGGACAACCTGTCCAATTTGTCAGTACCATTTGGGGTGTCTGATCTCATCCTTCCTAGCGTTTGCATCACCTGCCATTGTTTTGAGGTTATCAGGTTTTTTAGCACAGTTACAAGCATACATATATATATGTCTGTGAACATACTAAACAGAGCTTAGGACAGGCCCTGAAAGGTGTCTTTCTGAGGTGCCTTTGCATTTTGATGAATAACCACTAATGATCACTGTGGTTTTCTGCTATCAGATGCCTGCATACCTTCCACTAGTTGTATTTAAAATGTCATTATATGAAAGTGTGTTGTCAGACGGTGCCAAAAGCCGTACAAGATGTATCATGTCCATTGCTTCTGTTTACCCAGTGAGCTTAACATTACTTGGAAAAGGGGAACCTGGTTTAGCACAAATGCATTTTGCCCATTTTACATGTGCTTTTTTCAGTCTATTAATTCATTATGTCGCAAATATTTAAAACATGATTGCTCCAAACCTTTCTGAACCTGGCAATTAAGCTATCTGATCAGTCATTCTCTTCTAGGAAACTTGGGGTGTGGAGAAGCGTCTTCCCGAGGAAGGGCCTGTGTGAATGCTTTACAAATACTTTGACAAGTAAGATCAAAACTTTCCACCCCCTATTTTTTTTTTTTTTTTTTTTTTTTTTTTTTAACCTCTTCTTAAGGTCTTTGCAGCTTTAAAATAGTTAAAGTGTATTTTCCCTAGTAATGCCACCTGGTTCTGGTTCCTTTCTTTCTTCTTTTTCCAATGACAACATGTCCTTGGTTCTCTTTTTCCTGACAGGGGGTTACTATTTAAAATCACTCTGAAAATTATGTGAACATTAAGTATTATTTCATAGTAGTTATTTTCTGTCATTGGACTGGTTTATTTCTCTAATGTATCTATTTGGAGGGGGGGAGAATTATGTCCCAAAATGGTTATTAGGATAATAATCTTTTTCTTTTTCCCTTTATAATGACTGGTGGAGTTTTTAGATTAAGCATGTTGTCATATAAATGAATTCTTAATTATATTGTAATTACTTCTTTCTCATCTGTGTTACAATACTTGTGTTATATATCACTTATCAGTGATCTATAAATTATTACAAGTTACTTAATAATGTTCCTCCCTCACAGCTGTGGGTAAAAGGAAGTACCTACCTTGTGCATGGGTTGAAGTGCATTCTGATATTTACATAGTCTTTCTTAAAGTTATTTGGTCTGAAAGAGACAAGCCCTAAGCGTATGGTTAAATTTTACCAGCATTATTTAGCAACCCTTCTACTTCTCTTTTACCGAAAATATCTGGTTTACACTGCATAAATCTAGTTTACAAATATTCCTCAAAGATCCCACTTGGAATCAGGGCTATATTCAATCATGGTATTGTATCAACAGGTACCTCAGTGGAGAGGTTTCATAATATAAATTTCCATCTGCTCAACTGCAACCTATTTAGAAGAAAGTGGTGAAAGACAATACTATGTGCTTCTCTAACATTTCACCAGGGGATTTAAAAATTATTTATAAGACACAGATATGATTTAGAGCAGTTGTGCTTGGAGAGGAAAGTGATTTGCCTTGAATACGGCGCAAGATGCAGAGGGCTGGTAAACATGCTTTAACAAACACGAGTGGGTAAAAACACTTGTTCCCTGGGGAGAGGAGGACTGAACAGCTAATGAGTGAATTTATTTGTGTTTGGGACAACATTTTTCAAGAGGCTTTTGTTTAAAACACAGGAAAATACTCATCTCAACTGCTGGAAGACTGTTCCATGACCTAAGTATATAATTATCAGGAAATTCTGGGCCCTGTGTCTGTGCTTTATCACATTCAGTCCCTCCGCATCTAAACTTCTTACAAGCTTCTGTGAGCCTAAAGTCAGCAGGGCTTCTCTGATTTATACTACCTGGGGATCTAGCCTCAGTAAGAGAATATAAACTTAAATGATTTTTGATTGTGTTGCCCTGTATTTTAGGGGGATGCATGAAGGTTTTGCATGCTAGCCAGTCAGCCAACCCCCCGTCAGCACGTTGACAGTATTTTCTCTCCCTTAACTTCAACCTACTGCTCCCAACTCTTCTAAACTCTGCTATCTTGGAGTTTATTTCTTTACAACAATTGCATATTCTTCCTATGCCTCATTCTGCCACTGCTTCCGAGTCAGTGTTAGTTCAGATAGGATTTTTAACCTCTCCACTTCAGTCAGTCCCCCTTGGCTACCTGTATTTGTTGTTACTCTTCTGCAACTTTGACATATATATAGGCAAAGTGTACAAACTCAGTGCCCGAGTCTTTGTGCTGTTGCACTCATGATGTGTAATGTGGGTCTGTTCCTATCTTGAAGCAGTGATTCTGCATATAAAGGTAAAAGTCTGCACTTTTTAAATTTGGGGGGCCATGCATTGTAAGTTTATGCCTTGTTCGCTGTTTACTGCTTCTGGTGTTCCTGCTCTTGAGAGTTCTCCTCAGTGAAGCTCTGTGTTGGATTATTTTTTTTTTCTTTACATTGAGCTCCATTTGTCAAGACTCAGCCCCTGTTTTAATTTTATGTTGACGTTTTTAATAATGCCCCTTGTCTTCACTATTTTACACTTAATTAATAGGAGGGACAGAATTGTCTCAATCACATGCTGTGCTGTTTACTTGCTCTAGTGATTCTTTAAAGGAGAGGGTTAATTGCAGCCTCCTCTGGATTCATCTATGCTTTAAGTAAGACCATTCCTATCACTGGCCCTTTGCTGTCAATTTGACAAAATTCCCATCTTCCCCTGTGGTCCAGGGTTTGGACTATCTGAATCAGCCTTCCATTCAAGTTAATACTTTGAAATCAACTGAGATTAATTATTTAACCACAGTTTCTTGCACTGCCAACCCTATGTATTAAAATATCAAATTATGCCACAGAGGATCATAAAACTGGCTTTAACGATGATGTCCAGTGAAAGCCTGCCTGCTTTTAAAAGCAGCACAGAGACCCAAGGCACATAATTGCTCAAGTGTTAATTTCTACTCCTATAGGCAACAACCCTAGCGCTTTTTTTTTTTTTTTTTTTTTTTGTTTTGTTTTTACAGTATCTGAGATTTGTACCTAATCATCTGTCTCTGGACACTGCGGCTGTAGGGAAAACACCAAAGAGCGCAACGCTTGTCACGAAAGGAGGGAAAAAACTCAGACATTTCTCTTCAACAGCAACACGTAATGCTGGGCAAAGGGCTGGCGGATGAGGTGCTTCTTCGAGGCTTTCAGTTTCTGACGGGTGCCTGGCAGACGGGGATGGGACAGGGAGAGGGGCTCCGCCAATTTGTCCTGGGTACAGCCAGCCGGCACACACCGGGAAACGGCGGCAACCCCCCGGGGGAACCGCTCAGCCACCGGGGGCCACCGGGCAGCCCAGAGCCCGAGGTTGGGACAGCGAGAGCCCCCCGAGCAGCGGGGCCGCTTGGGGATGGGCTTTCCCCGCCCGCGGTGAGGGAGCCGGCCCCGCGGCGAGCAGGGGGGCGAGCCCGGGGGGTGGTGAAGTCGGGGATGGATGGAGGGTTGGATGGAGGGATGGACGGAGGGATGGATGGAGGGATGGACGGAGGGATGGAGGGATGGATGGGGCGGGGGGGCCGGGGGGAGGAACCCTCGGAGCCGCGGCCCCGGGCCCGCCTCTGCCGCGCCGAAAGTTTGCGAAGTGGCTCGGCGCTGGGGGGAAGCGGGGCGGGGGCTGCCCCGGCCGGGGCTCCTCCTCCGGGGCCGGGCTTGGGCCGGGCGGAGCGGGGAGCGAGCCCCCCAGCCCCGGAGCTGCGGAGGCTTCGGAGGGAGGGAGGGAGCGAGCGAGCGGCGGCCGGGGGTGCGTTGAGCTCAAGAGAAGCTCCGGAGGTCGCGCTGGGGGCGGCCCGGGCCCGGGGCGCTGCCACCATGAGACGGCGGGGCGGGGGCTGCCTCCTGCCCGCGCCTCCGCAGCTCCTGCTGCTGCTGCTGCTGCTGGGAGCGCTGCTCCGCGCCAGAGGTAAGCGCCTGCCGCGGCGCCCACTGCCCCGCGGGGAGCGACGCGGGGGGGGGGGGAGCCCGGCCGCCGGTTCGGGGTGAGGAGAGGTGCGGGGGGGGGGGGGGGGAGAAGCCTTGCCCTAGGCGGGGGGCTCTGCCCTGCCGCGCCGCTCACCTGCCCACACCTACCGGGGCGGAGAGCCCCGTCCCGCCGCGCTTTGTCCGTGCCCCGTCCCGCGCCCGGACGCGGGTGGGAGGGTGCGGGGAAGGGGGCTCACGCCTTCCCCGTCCCCTAACGCGGTGAGGCCGGAGCCGGTGGGATCCCTCCCCCCCCCCCCCCCCGGCAAGGTCGAAGCCGCGGGTCCCGTGGACGGGCGCTCCCCCTGAGGCGGGCGGCAGCGGGAGAGTCCCCGCTGCCCACGCGGCCGCTGCCCCCCGCGGAAGTTTGGCGGCGTGGCCGCGGGCTTTGTTCCCGCGGTGCGAGCGAGCGGCGGGCCGGGCCGGGCCGGGGCCGGGGCGGGCTCGCAGGTTGCCTCGGAGGCTGCCGTGCCCGGCGTGTCGGGACAGCCGCCGCTCCGCAGCAGGAATGCAGCCGCGCACCCGCCGCGACGGGCCCCTTAAAGGTACAGCCCGGCTCCGCCGCGGGGCCCCGGGCTACCTGCCGGGGAGCCCCGGGCTACCTGCCGCGGAGCCCCGGCCACCGGGGCGGGGGGTGTCCTCCCGCAGCGCCCGGGCGGAGCAAAGCCACGGCAGCAGGGCTACCAAAAACAGCGGCGAGGGGAGAGGCTGGCCGCGGCCCCGGCGAGCAGGGAAGCGGTTCCATCGAGCCTCGCCGGTGAAAACTTACCTTTGTGGTCGCTCTACCAACTCAAAAGCAATTGCTGTTTCTTCGTCTTGTGCGGTGGGGCTCTATTTTACAAGTGCGCCCGGCGGAGGAGAAATCATCTGAAGGCTTCGTGGAATTGTTTATAAAGAGTTGGAAGGCTTTGGGGGGAGGGGTGTGGAGAGGAGATGCGTACCTCATTTCTCTCCCTTCACTCCTTTGGCAGCTGCTGTATAATTTCACCCATCCGTTTTCTCCTGTGCTGGTCTGAAATTACAGGAAGCATTTGCAGTAGTGCTGCTGACCTCCATCATTCTGCAACTATTGCCTCTGGGGCACAATCACATGGAGTTTGGGTTTCAAGTAATATTATTTCTCTTCTAACAAGAAACCTAATTGCAGGCAGCTTTGAAGAAGGTGCTAAACCTGCTTAGAAAGGCTGAGTAAAGGACTTGAGTTCCATATATCAGAAAATCTGCTTTTTAGAAACCAGAAGTATTCTTAAGTTCCCAAGTGCCACACAGATACTTAGCTGCAGTCTAGGAGTGGGAAGGATCTAAAGCGTAGACCTTAGTGTAGGTGCAGATCTGGATGTGTTTTATTTTGGCTGTTACCCAGGTGTTCCTAGTTAATGTGTCTGGGCTGTTAACAGCCATGTGGGGGATGTCTGATTGTAAAGTGCAGGTTTGCTCGTAGGTGGTTGTGCCTTGATGTCTCCAGGACGCTTTTTATAGCAGTTTGTCTCTCTTTCAAGTAGTTCTCCCATCAGTGCACTTTCCTATATCCTCTTGTCAAATGAATGTGAGTTTATGATTGGATGTGCCAGCTGCTTTCAGAAGCGAGTTTCCTCTTTCCTTCACGGGAAGATATGTCTTGCAATAAGAACATGATTCCTGAGCAATTTTTCTCCTATTTGGAGCAAGGAAAAACATGAGGATGTGTCAGGATGGAGGTGATGGAGAAGTCTGTGATCAGTTAGTGTTCTTCCCCTCAGCTAGAAATTTTTCACTGTTGTCCCTCAGAAGTACCCCCAGGGATGGTGTACCGCTTGACTGTCGTAAAGCATCCACAGCCACAGACCTCGTGATGCCAAACAGGTAAATTTTTAGAAGCACTTGGTCATTTACCACTGTGCCTCAGTACAGAAGCAGGTAAAGCAAACAAATCTGCAAGATTGACCTTGGACCCTCTTTTGATGGATAGTGGCAGTTAAAACTGGAGAAGTCTGTGCCAAAAAATAAAAATAATAATTAAAAAAAAAGCAAAAGAGGTCTGCAAGTATCTTGAGCTCTTGGAAAAGTGTGTGGTACATAAAAATGGGAATAAAATAAAATAGAATTTACACTGCCTGAAGAAGGGCCTGGTGTTACAATGGTCTGTGTTAGTATAAATACAGGATGTCACAGAACCTGTCTGGGTGATGTGCTCACCGTTCTGGCTCCTGGAGCTCTGCCAGAAAAATACATGGCTAATAGCCGAGCTTCACTCCCCAAACATCTTGACTACATTTTAGAGCTACAAACCTGGATGTGTGATACCTCTACAGAAGTATCGTTTGCTGTGGGAATCGCGATGTCCACTGCGTGTGCTGACCACTTCTGTGGGCTCTACAGCTCTCAGCCAAGGGCCAACCGCCCGTCTTCCTGGTGTCAGTTTGAAGCTGAGACTGTTCGATTTCCTGGCTGTGCTGAGAATGCCTGGGTTTACCGCTGCTCAGGTTGGATGATATTCGCAGATCTCATGGTCACCCTGAATTACCTTGACTGCTTCGTTTTGCCAAGGTGTTGATGGCACTGGCTAATATCCCCAGTCTTGTCAAATGAAGAGTAAGATGCTACAGGAGGCTGACAAGTGGTAGTGGTGTTTTTCTTGTTTTGTTTTATTTTGATTGTTTTTGTTGTTTAAAACCCCCCAATTCTGTGTCTACTAAGAAGTGGTAGCATTAGTGGAAAAGCATAAAGCATAAATCTTCCAGTATGAGGTTAACATAATGGTTTCATTTACTTAGTGCAGATAAGCAATTTTCTTTTCTATTTTCTTTCCAAAAGCTTTCAGTTGTGTGCTTTAGCACTGTTTTCTGCAGTAGAGGACCCCTTCTTGCATCCTGGGAGCGTAGGCGTGTGCAGCAACCAAATTAATAGGTGCTTAGTTACGTAAAGTGCTTGCATTTCCAGAGTGTCTTGTGAACCCTGAAGAGGGATATTCTGCTCATGTGGGCCACAAAATGGGATTTCAGAAAACTTGGAGCTGTTTCTCTACACTGTGTTCATTGAAGTTACATAAGAAAAAGTGGTTGGATATAAACGTTGTTCAGTTGTTTGTAGTTCGGGCCAGAAGGCAGTACTTGCTGTATGTTAACTGGAAAAAGAAATTGAAGTGACTTGTATTTTGTTTTTACTCCTAAAAACCTGTAGTTCTACAGACCGGTGAAATTAACATTAAAAAATAATTAAAAGATTCATTCTCTGGGAATGATCTGTAGTCTGATAGTCCTCTTGAATCTTCCTGCGCTCTTGTGAAATAGGCAAATATTATCCTTGTTTTGTAAATGTGGGAAGAGAAGTAGAAATTGTCTTGCCCAAGGCCAACTCCATTTGCCCTAGAATGCAACTTACCATTGAATACAATAGAATATATGCTTCATAACACTTATAAAAGCTGATAAAGAGATGTTATCTTGAAAACCAGTCAAGGTTTTAAAAATAGGTTTAAAAAGTAAGTGCATGTCCCACACCTTCTTTGAATTCCTCTGCTGCTTGTGACTTGTGGCTATTTCTCTTTTTAATAATACTTCTGTTTCTCTTGCTGATGATCAAAAGATACATAAAAAATTTTACTGACTCCTCATTGGAAAGGGTGAATTGGTAAGTAAAGGGTTGTTAAAAGAAACGTGTAAGAAAAATGGACACGTTATTTCTCTAGTCCTCTGTTATTTCCACCTTAGCTATTTGTGATGTTATCTCAGAGGGGTTTACCTAATAAGGTGATACATACACGCATACATGAACACTTCAGCTGACCATCTCTTAAGATGCCTAGCTTTACCTGATACACCATCCAGAGCTGGAGCTCTGGCATACAGCAAACCCACTCAGTTAATTGGCATACTGTATTTAGTGGCTGTTTCACGCAAATCATGGCAGAAAACACTAATTGTAATTGTCACCCATGAATCTAATGTGCTCGATGGTTAGGCTCTTGCTTTTGCATCTGTAGTGCCATGTTCTTTGCCATGGCTGTTACGTTAGGCATTACTCTTTTATCGGATTTTGTTGTCTCTACAGCTTGAAGACTGGACACAGTAATGCTTCTCAAATCTCATCTTTCTATATTGTCTTCCCTGTAGATTTCCATTTCCCTGTACTAAAGATAGTAACTATATGGATCCAGAGGCTTGTGATTCCCTAGGCTTGTGGTTTATTCATGCTATGTATCTG